CTCCTAAAATGCTTTTCCACCAGTAAACTATGGAAAAAGAACCACCAATTTTGCCACCTAAAATCTTTTACAACTTAATACATATATATATATATATATATATATATATATATATATATATATATATATATATATAGTTATCCAGATACAATGAGAATGAATAGAATACAAATCCAATGTTCGTAACATTTTATTTAAGAGAGGGCTCAATACAAAGTAGAGCAATATTATTTATTTTAGGATATTATGTCAAAATTGCTATACGTTTGCAGTCATGTTTTGATGCATATCAATGCAACTCATCAGGTGATTGTAAATTACTGATGAGTGAATGATTTTTTAGATTTAAAAGCAAAATAAAACCTCTTTTTATGAAAAAAAAGAAAAAATAGGGGTTATAAGCTTTGTGGGATTTACTCTGATTAACCAATCAAATATGACCTATGTTAAATTCAAACTAAGCAAAGAAGCAAAAATTTAAAAATTATTTTTTATAATTGGGTCATGACCCATAGATTGGCAGCTAATGGCAACACAGACATAACCAGGGGCGGATGTTAATGAATGCATAAATTAAACTCAAAAATATTTAGAAAGTGATGTATTATTTCTGTAAGTACTATTGGTGATGGACAAGGTATGATGATACCACCTACTCTTGAAAGAATTCTTAGTACTACCAATGTAGAATTCTTCAACCATTGCATTCTCTATTGTAGAGATAGTACAGAGATAAACAAGAGATTTAGTTAAACATTTGTTTAGCAATTGGCATTGGTCAGAATTCCTACAATTACATTGACCAATATAATTAATAATATTTACCTTGGAATGTGTATTATGATCCAGATTATCAAATTGATAATTTAAAAGAGTTTAAAGATGATAATAAGGTGAAATGGAAAATTTAAAAAATGGCAAGGACTCGTAGGTTTTTATATGAACCCTGTTTTCTGTGCTTACATGAAAAACTGAAAATTATCAGACTCAATAAAAATTTATTATTAAATTAAAGGAATGAATGAACAGTAAATTGTAAACATAGTTTACCTCTTACCTTACAATTTAGTTAAACTTTGTAGTTTGATTATGTTCTTTCTTATATTTTAGTTGTACTGCATTGCACTACATATGGATTATCTTTCTATTTGTAAGATTAAGTTGGATTTAATATAATTTTGCATTAATCTCCTGGCAGTATTAGTAACATCTTGTACAGTTGTATTGGTATTTGGTTGATATTTTTGACATTTTACATTGATTGGTTAGTGTTATTAACATCTTATATGAAGAATCTTTATTCAACATTAGCATATTAATTTACTATATTTAAATTATTAAATTTTTATTAGTTTAAATTATTTACTAGTTTCTTAAAAAAGTTATTTATTTATCAACTATAAAAAGAATTTTTATGTAGGAAATTCACAAAGCATAGAACTTGTTTAGCATTTTGTTAAATTACCTTTCCACCCCATTTTTGTTTCTTAGGAAATGGCATTGTCTAGTTTTATATTATTGATGTATCCATTAACATCCACATCTGGTTATGTCTGTGTTGCCATTAACTGCCAATCAATGGGTCATGGCCCTTTTAGAAAAAATAATATTTTAATTTTTGTTTCTTTGCTTACTTTAAATTTAACGTAGGTCAATATTTGATTGGCTGATCAGAGAGAAGCCCACAAACATTATAGCCCCAAATTTTTCTAATTTCTGATGAGATGCATTGATATGCATCGAAACACAACTAGAATTGTCTAGCAATGTTAACCTCTTTCGGGGTAATATCCAAAAATAAATAATGTTGCTTGACACTGTATTGAGCCCTCATTTAAATTAAATGTTACAAATATTGGAACTGTACTCTATTTGTTCTCATCATATATATATATATATATATATAAGTGATAGAAATTATTAGGAGGATTTGAGATAATTATAATTAAGTAATTCATCAAGTCTAGAAGGAACCTCAACAGAATGCAGAAAGCACTGGACGGCCGTTTCGTTCTATATTTGGGACTCATCAGCAGTGCGCATCCACTACCGAGAACTGAAACCTGGACAGTTACGTTATCAGGCAAAACGTCATACCAACTGTACAAACGGGCCTCAGTGGCAAAAAGGTAGTGAATTAGATTCACTATAGTGCCGCTCGATCACATATTTTGTGGTGGAACTCATCTATAGGACTGTGTCCTCATGAACTACGACTTCTATCCAAGCCACTCCATCCAGAGTATTAGAAGCCAGTTCAAGCAAGGATATACAAGTGATAGAAATTAGGAGGATTTGAGATAATTATAATTAAGTACATATATATATATATATATATCGCACGCAACTCTCTCGTTGAATCTGACATATGAGGGTCAAGCAGACTATTTACCAGGAAACCGATAGCTCGACAACAGCACATGAGAATTGATTATAGTGATGAAGGTTTCGTGCAGGACCATCCACACTTTTTGAAGGGCCGAATACAGAGACCTGGTGCACTCGACAGGTTTTGAATTCAGAGTTGTCCTTCCCTTAGACCAGTTTCCATCCAATGCTATAGAACCCTGTCTACCCTGCTATTTACCCGTAGCTGGAGAGAGAAGAAGAGGATTCATACCTTTCCCAAGGGTATTAGCATGTAAGCGAATGTAATGGATTCAAATGGAATTCGAACTCGGCTCTACCCAGTTTTAACCATGTTTTAATAATGGAAGCTAAAGACTGTGAATTTAATTTTGTAACTAAATTAAAGACATTAGTTCCATTTCATCCTCAAGCAAATTTTGGAGTAACTTATTTATTACTGCATTTTAAAGGCACAGCAAAAAAATCATAATTCACGTTTCCAAGGATTATACACATATATATATATATATATATATATATATATATATATATATATATATATATATATATATATATATATATATATATATATATATATATTATTATTTTATATATTATATGCATGGTACTTATTAGAAAGTGTTCAATATCAGAGATAGATCTAACATATTTGGTTGGATTGATGTGAGTTTGTGACCCTGGGTTTCACGTTTTTGCAATCCTCAGCCAAACTCTTTTTTGAAATCCAGGGTGACAAACTCACATCAATCCAAATATATATATATATATATATATATATATATATATATATATATATATATATATATCTATTAAAATGTTATTTTTAATGGATACTCATATTTGAGTACATGCTCTGTAGATATGAGTATCCATTAAAAATAACATCTAAAGAAATAAATTAAAAATGTCAGATTATAAATGAAAAATACATTCCTTTAAATGTATATAAACAGCTGACAAGAAAGAGGCAAATTGGAGTTGAAATTTATTTTCAAAATAAATTCAAACATTGAAGGATTAAATAGGGATTTGGGTTTACTCAGAGAATATAACTTTCACAGGGAGACCGCTAACCAATAATGACATTCCTCGGAAGAGTCAGTCCCACTTCTTTGTTTATTCCTCATATCATTGAAAAATAACACAGGCATGTTCAAAAATTCCAACCTTAAAATCTTTTCCTGGTTGCTTCAATTCAGTCAAAATGTTAACATATAATAAATATCAATTTTATTGACAACAATGGTATATATATATATATATATATATATATATATATATATATAGCACAAAGTCAAAAATCATTGTGACTGAGGGTTCGTTCAGATTACTGATCATGCTAGATAACATGTTCTCTCTCAGAAACTGTAATTAAGGTTTGGTCAAGATAGTTGCAGTATAAACCACAGGTTGGCTCTCTGGGTATTGAACAAACACAAATGTGCCTGAGTGAATGTCTGCAATAGGGATTGGTTAGCCACCCTAGTCGACAGGTATCCTCGAATATGAGTGGCCAACTATTATTATTATTATATATAAATACAACTCGATATTTTCTTTCTCCTGATGATGACCATGTTAGCCGAAACTAGTCAAGGAATCTAAATGAAATAATAATAAAAATGAAAGAATATTAATATACAACCCAGTGTATCTGAAGATTTTAATTTTTTAATATTTTTTATTGTTCAAAATATATATGTATACATATCTATATCTATCTATCTATATATATATACATATATATTAACAATGACTAAAATTGCAGTTTCACCTTCTCTTTATCCCAAGTTAGCAGATATTGCAGATATTGTATTTGATGAGGATATAACATATCTGTGAAACTCTGTCAGGAAAGATAAGTGGAATATTTAATTTTGGCTGTTGATATATATATATATATATATATATATATATATATATGAAGAAATATAGTTTTAAGGTGTGCTATATGTTGACCATGTTTGCTGTAGTCTTTGAATATAGAATCCAGTGAAGTTCGTAATGTGTTCAATATCAGAGGTTGGCAGTGAAGATTCGGAGAAAGTAGCGGCTGTTAATTCTTTAAGTCTTTGATAACAGGTTGGCAGTGAAGATATTGTGGGAGAAAAAACAAAATGGTTGCCTTTATACATGTCGGATTGAATATTTTGAGCTTTCTGATTGGTTAACCCTTCTATTGGTGAACTATAAAATGAGTCAGCTCATTTTGGTTGGCTCACTAGTACAGAGTACCCAAAAATTCTAACACTATATTTATGGGATAAAGTGCTCAACATCAGAGATAGAGTGTATGTAAATATAAAAGTGAACATTGAAGTCAACACTCAGAGGCAACAGATTGTTTCATGCTAAATGCAGGTATCAGGCCGCATGCATGTGGTATATGGTATGTGGCCTGATGATTGCATTTCACATCAAACAATCTGTTGCCTCTTTTATTTATATATATATATATATATATATATATATATATATATATATATATATATATATATATCTTAAGTACATTAATTACAAAGACTGCTCACCTTCAAAATGTTATCTTCATATATTTTTCTTTGGAAAATAGAATCTTTGTTCATACACAACCACATGCATACACACACACACTAATATAGGCCTATGTCCATATTACATTAAAGAACTAATTCCCATACGATCACTGAAGTTAAGCAATGTTGAGCCTGGTCAATACCTAGATGGGTGACTGCTTAGGGAATACCAGGTGCTGTAAGGTTTGATGTTTGGTTGTAATGGATAATGACATGGAATTGTTAATAGGATAGCCATGTTCCAATTCCAGCCAGGTTTGTTATATTCACTTTTGTGCAAATACTCTTGGGAAATAAATGAATCCACCTCTTCTCCCTCAGCTATGGGTTAATTAGTAAAACTTGTATCTCTAAACCATTATTATCTTCAAAAATAAAATAAAAATTGTGTACAAAAATATTTAGATTTTGGCATTAAATAAGCCATAGTGGTGTTCATATGCAAAAAGAAAAACCAACACACACACACAGACATATATATATATATGTAAATTATTTTCAGATAGAGTTTATCTGTAAAGAAGAAAATGAATAAAAAGACAAGAGGAAAACTATTTTTAGCTGATGATTTCATCCTCTGATAATTATAATTTATAATTTGTATGTAAAAGAACAGTATTGTTCGCTGTACTTGATATATGTCTAAGCTCTGCTGATTCAAAATGGCTGACTATGAATTATGGTTTTGTAGAAATACTCATAAAAATTTCACAGTTTTCCTATTTGAATTTTCTGATGGATTTCAATTCTAAATGATTCAATAAGCTCCTTGCAAGTTCCATCACTATAGAGTACCCGTGGAAATTAACCTATTGCATTGTTGGATATTTGAGCTTTAACAAAATATTTCAATAACAATCATCAATTTTTTGATACTTGTAGTCATTGATATATACATATGCATATGTACAAGTAATTACGGAACAGAGATAGTAAAATAAATAATGCCAAGGTTAGGGGTTGTCATTTGAAGTTGAGAAAGTGTCAGTGCTAATGAAAAAAACTAAAAAAAACAAAAAAGTGTTGAATTGCTTGAGAAACTAGGCAAACAAAAGACTGAAACAAAACCAAATAGAAATATTTATTTTATCATTAACATTTTTCATACAGATAAAATTTCAAGCAATATACCTGAAATAAGGTGCAATTTCCAGGAATGTACTTAAGAGTCTTTATAAAGAATGACGGAAAGTTGAATTTACTATGTTGGCGAGTGACTGAGGTGTATTGTGTATGCTATGTAACTTTATTGCATGAAGCGCTAATTTTAGTATCCTATCCCAACCTCGACATGCAAAGAAAGAAAGCCATCTATCTATCTATTCCAGTCTATTAATATCTATCTATCTATCTATTCCATATATACTCCCAGTATATTTATCCATATATATATTTATATATATTAATATACTATAATAATAATAATAATATATATATATATATATATATATATATATATATATATATACTCCCCAGTATATTTATTGATGTCCAAAAGTTGAAAAGCAGTTGCTGACAGGCTTATCAAAACATGCATGTTTAACAAAAATATTTTAATGCCTGCTGCAGAGAAAATCTGTCCCATGATATTTGATACGGTTAATATATGAAATGTGTATGTTAATGTACCAACTATTATGGGACAAAGTTGCAATAAATAATTCTGATCCAATAAGTTATAAGCAGATTTCCTTTAATTCTGATATGTTACAATGCTCTTATAGAAATTAATTGGAATATATTAGACTGGCGGTGTCCCATAATGAATGGTACATTTAGTGTAGAATATTGGTTAGCTTACAAGTGGTCTGACACACAAGTAGACTGGTGTAATTACAAGTAAAAACTGATGCGAGTCATTTAATGGAGAGATATATGGGTGAATAGAGACCACTCATGCAAATGTGTTGGGTAGGTCCATTTTAGCAAAATGGACCAACCCAACTGGTGCATTAGGTACTCTTCTATAAATGAGGTAAAATTAGCTGGCTTGTTGTAAGCAATCTGGGATGACAAAGGAAATGTTTGTCACAGATTATTTCCACGTCACAGAGAATAGATCATTAAGTTCAAACATCGGGGTCAGAAAGAAATGCTGAAAACTCGATTCGCAGGTATTATCTCACGAATCACAATGCACGCAACCAGTCAGAAAAATAACTCACTCTCCAACAAACACGGTAGCCAAAATATCTGAATTTTGCTCCCTGATTCGAGAAGACCAACTGCTTTTAACGGCTGAACATTTTTTTCATTCGTGGACAGCTGGGAGAGGATGTTCAGTAATTTGCATATCAAAATACTTTTATAGCAAATCCTGCGATGGACTTGTTTTTTAATTCAAATATTCCATCTTCAGCATGTCATGTGGAATACATGCCCTTTTGTTTGGTAAGTAATTTTCTTTTTCGACACATTTTCCGTCGTAGAATACACGCAACACACTGACGCTTGGTTTGATGAGGTAAGTCTCCGTTTTCTTTGCTATACAAGACACAAGAAGGCAGTCATGTTAGCAGGTAAGTTAATTGAAATATTGTTGTGTAGGAAACCTACCACCCCTCTTGAAGATGAACTTGTCTACAAACAAAAACGTTAAATGGTGGCATGTCAAAAGACAGACTAGAGTCGGGGAAGTTCTTGGCTGAGTTAGTTATAGACTACTCAGGCAATTTCTGTACTTACTTACCAACCTAATAAACCCCTTTTTATTGTTATGTGTTATTTGGTGTTTGGCTTTATTAACCCCAAATCAACATCATAACAAATATGTATGCAAATGTACCAACTATTATGGAAGAGATGTCATAATAAGTAATTCCAGTCCAAAATTGGAAGGATTTCTGCTAGTTTTAAGCTGGTCCTATTTAATCCTGATATGCTACTATGTTCGTCCACAAATTAACTGGATTATATTAGGCTATCTCTGTCCCATAATCATTAGTACATTTAGAGCATGAAATGTGCATTCTACTGTACCAACTATTATGGGACAGAGGTATTATGTTAAGAAAGAAAAATGATCCAGTAGTTATTTAGTTTGAACCTTCAAATTTAAAAAAAATGTCAGTTCAAATTACGATGTTTTCATTTAGATCAAGTAATTTTAATAAATATTACATTCCAAGGAGCAGGCATGCAGCCAGGATTAATGAAATGTTAATTTAGACAATATGGGAAAAGATGAGCAGAAACAGTGAACACCGAAGCTGAGTGACAGAAATCATAGCTTGGGTGAACGATTATCTTGAAATTGTTGCATAATAAGATTTCATTGGTAGTTAAATGTTCTTCGTGTTTGGAATCAAGAGGTGGATTTGAATTTTGACATTTAAAATCAATGGTGAAAAAAAAAGAAACAAAAAAAAATCATGGCAGTAAAATGAAAGGAAGCAATTAGTTTCAACCTTGAGATTTATGCTTCACTTTCAATTCCACGACTTCAACACTGTACTTGACTGAGACGTCTCTTATGTTGAAACCGGTTATCTTTACGACTGCCACCATTAAGCAAGCAACAAACATTGGAGATTTCATCAATAAACTGCCGAGGCACTCTGCAGTGTGGCATCTGGTCAGATGATTTGTAATTTAAAGATCAATACTTTTTTAATAATTTAAATAACAAATTGTTCTTATTTTTATTTTCTTGATGTGGGTGGAAGAAAGAAATCAGGCTTAATAAAATTGTTAATTACACATAGGTCACCAGGTAATGATGAAAATGAATCTGTTACAAAACAACAAAAGCATATGACTAAAAATAAATTGAATAGATATAATGAGATGGGTGTTTTATATATGACATCCTTGATTGAATAGGATAATTGAATCAATAATTTAATATTATGGTATATATATTAATAATTTAATATTATGGTATATCAATAATTTAATATTATGGTATATATATTAATTATGAGTGAACATACATTAGCCATACACTTGTACATGCCTTCTGCATTAAATGGAAACTTGTTATATATGGAATAACACCAGTTTAATATTACTGATATACTGCTGGTATGCTACTCAAAAAGACTCAGCGTATAATAGTAACAAAGACTTATCTCATGAATTCAGATAGAAAGAAGGCCAGAGAGTACAGCATCTTAAACATTGAGATAAAGACAAAAAAGACAAGGAAACTGGTCCAGAAGATCTATGTCATCATCATATCCTTCCTCTTCCTTGTTAGTAAATTGTCCTCTGGAGAAGGAATGAAGACATTTTTTTTGCCTTTTTTTGCGTCATATCTATTGTGCCACAATCAAGTAGTTTGATGCATGATATCCACATGAGATTCAAGATCAGACAGGTCTATACTTTGTTTTTGTAGCTTCTTGAGATGTTTGGCTCGTGTATCCTTAACACTGCTCATCCTGTTTATACTCAGCCTGTTATTTCTCACCAATAGCAAGAGACTTTTGAACTATTTAGAATCTATTAATTATATATTGTGAATTTTCATCATTAATTCAGAGTAGGTACCATTCCTGCTTTCATTCCAATTCCAGATACTTTTGATGCTTCTGCTATGAATTTAGAGATTCTTGATAAAATCCAAAGAATCCACAATATTATTGGTCATGACCTGGCATCTCGCCTTCAGTCACTTTATGTAATTTTGAAAATAGACTTTAGCACCCCAAATATAGTGGTAAAAATCAAAACATTACAAAGAATGGGAACAATAGTCTGACCAACTCTGAATAAAAAATGACTTTTCTCAAATAGGTAGAACATGTCGGCCAAACAGTTCTACACCTGAAGATGGCTGGAGAATGGATTGACTGAAATGTAGTGGTCAGAATGAAAGGAAGACAAAGAATCAGTTTCATAGTTGAACAACTCTTGGAATGATAATGTCTATTCTCAAAATTGTAGAAAGTGTCTTTCATACAGTTGTACACCTGAAGATGGTTGGAGAATGGATTGACTGAAATGTAGTGGTCAGAATGAAAGGAAGACAAAGAATCAGTTTCATAGTCAAACAACTCTTGGAATGATAATGTCTATTCTCAAAATTGTAGAAAGTGTCTTTCATACAGTTGTACACCTGAAGATGGTTGGAGAATGGATTGACTGAAATGTAGTGGTCAGAATGAAAGGAAGACAAAGAATCAATTTCATAGTCAAACAACTCTTGGAATGATAATGTCTATTCTCAAAATTGTAGAAA